ATATCTGGTCACTCCCCAGAATTAAACAAAGTTAAATTAAGGTAAATGGTGGACTCGAACTGGATTGATAATGAATCACAAAAAAAAAAAAAAAACTAAAAACATGTTACAGCGACGAGCCTCTTTGGTAATGGTGTTTGTCAAAAACTAATGGGCAATGATAGTGTAAATAGTATCTGCCAACAAGTTGCATTATTTTCATTGTAATTAGACACTGTGATTAGGTCTTAATGTCAATTGAGTAATTCGGTCCTGCACATGATGTCTACAGTGTGAAAGACTAAAAGTGCATTCTACTATCTCTGGAGGTGCTCAAAAGTGGACAAGATCAAAACATTTGTACACAGACCCTGTGTACACCTGCTTTAAATATTTTTCACTTTAATTCAGATAGACTAAAATGCATCTCAATACTTGGTGTAAACCAGTCCTTGGTTGAGGGTATCTGCTGCATCCTCAACAACATGCAAAATGCATTCAGCAAAATTATTAGGAACCTCTTTTAGAACCTCCCATTTTATTCTGTTCATCCTTCCTCTATCTCTCATAAAAATGCAGGGGCTGCTGAATATCACAGATGGTCTGGGAGGTGCACTTAGCTTAAAACAGAGAAAAGCGATACCAGATATAGAAGCACAACACATAATGTGCCTGCTTTTAATCAAATAACAACACAGAATTCTTCATTGCAGCAGAAGTCAGTTTTGGAAGATTCAGGTTTTATGTATGCAAGATTTCTCAGATGAAGAGTGATAAAATATAGAGCTTTTGATCAAAGTTTTATTCTCAGCAAAAACTATCTATTAATCTAGTTATTACAGTGCAAAGATGTTCTGATGGGGTTTCACTTGGCTGTTAAGGTACAGCAGAACATGGAAATGTGACAAAATAAAAGCCCATCATTTGCATTTTAAATGGAAAATCTAGATTGAACTCATACTGATATAAAAATAGTGTCGCTTTTTCAACATTGAACAGGCTTATGCAATGCATAAGACCAGCCATGGCACAGGACCAAATAAAAAAGCAGTCCATTGCATTATAAAAAGCCTTGGGAGTAAAATGTACAGTCAACTGAAGATAAAACAAAAAAATAACAAAAACAAAACATAATGGACCTTCACAGCATCTTCTGGATATCTGATGCTTTAAAGTTAGCATGAAATGAAATCTGTCTCTGGTCTTATCAGTCCTGTTTCACCATAATTTTTTTTTGGTCTGATCTGAAATGGGAAACCTGAAAATTACAGTGGTGGACAAGCAGTATTTATGTACATCCATATGTTTATTTTTGTTTTATTGACGTCTGAAATGACATTATTTAAAAAATAATATTAATAAAAAAAGTGAGGAAAAACATGCACTGGCTGTGTGATAGCCAGTAGTGTAAAGAAACAAATAAACAATTCTCAGACTACTGTAATTGAGTAGTTTTTTTCTTAGAAATTGTACTTTAACCTTCCCTTGAATACATTTTTAGTGCTGTATCGGTATTTTTACTCAACTACTTTCATTTAACCTGCAGTCACTACTTTATTTTTTCCTTCTATGGGGATTAGAAAAATCAGTCCTGTGATTCCTGTCTAATCAAATAGAAGATAAATTGCATCATACTAAACTACCTCAAGACATGGGTGATTAATAAATACAGCAAACTGTTTGGAAGCATTAAAAGTGTTCAAGAAGATGTCTAAAATCTTGCATTGATGCCGAGACTGTTTAGATGCATGTCACTAAAGAGAAGATGAAAGATGTTTACTGTATGATGACCGAAATGGCCTTAAACACCCAGCAGGCACAAGACGTCAACATGATGTTGGATTGACGTTGTACCTCAATGTCGTGGAGACATTGCGTTTTGTTTAAAAAATGAAAATCAGGTTGATGTCTGAACTCAACGTCAGGCCGACCTCAATCTCCAACGTCCAACCTAAAATCAACCAAATATAAAGATCTAATGATGTTACAGATTGACATTGTGTGCCACTACCACTATGACGTCTATCAGACGTTGGATTTTGATTGCCATGCCTGGCAAATAAATGTCAGTATTTGACGTCAATATGACGTTGGTTTAAGATGACTCGACGTTGGATTTTGGTAATTTTCCTACACAACCTAAAATCAACTAAATATCAGCTTCATTTGACGTCGTTATTACTCATCAAAGTAATATCTTTAGACGCTGGCTAGATATTGAATTTTGGTCGCCCAACATCACAACCTAAATCTAACCTAATATTAACTTCAAGAGTTCACACTTGGCTGATGATTGAATATAAGCAAGTTTGGCGTGCTGTCCCTGGAGAGAGCCCTGAGCTCGAAGGTTCTTGAGCCCTGGGCTCCCTCCCGTTTGGAGGAAGAGAGGGGAGCCTCGAGCTCAGGTAGATCTCGACAACTCCCCCTTGATAAGAGCTGATGACTAAAAATTGAATGCTATTACAAGATATGCTACATTATGAGATTACCTGTATTGCAAAATTTAGATTTATCAATTTACTTGTTGTGCATGTTTTTGGAATGTGGGAGGAAACCGGAGGACCCGGGGAAAACCCACGCAAGCACGGGAAGAACATGCAAACTACACACAGAAACAACCACCGGCTTGTTAAAGGACTAGAACCGGTGACGTTCTTGCTGTGAGGCGACAGTGCTTGTCACTGGGCCACCGTGCTGCCCTATGGAGGGAAAGGTGAAAAGGTAGGGGTGGAAGGGGGGATTCTTCAAATCGAAGATGACTGTAGTGAAAAAACCCTGGCTCTTTATAATGGGTTAGGAATGTCCTAATTGGTGGATCATGCACGTTAATTCAGAACCAGCCGTGTTCAATCATAATCACGTGCTCCTCTTGAAACTAGTTTATGAATAAACTTCTCTTATGATGTTGTGTGCCTGCTGGGCAATAACTAAATGCACTACAGAATGTTACGTTTACACACATCCATAAATTACATGTAAATGCATCTGCTTTTTACAGCATAATACTCACTACTCTTAAGTACTTTTGAAAGGTCTACTTTTTACACATACTTTGAGTAATATTTACAACAGATACTTTAACTCTACTTGCACTATATTTTTAAGCAAGTAATAGTTTTACTTAAGTATGATTTTTCAGTACTCTTTCCATCACTGGTGATAGCTAGATAGAACGACCCTATTCAAAATATAAAAAGTAAAACATAACCGTGTGAGCCATTTGTATTTTTTTACTCATAAGACATAATGTAGTTACACAATATCACACAGCAAGAGCGTTTTTCCGAACGAGCCTGTGAGTGTGATCGCTAATGTGATATTGATTCCAAACAGTGAGTTACATTTTAGAAACACGTTTCATGAATAAAATTGTTCCAAAGGCCGATCAGAAAAAAATAGTTGAAAAAGTATGAAAAAGTTTTTTTTTTTGCATGTTTGTCATACTTTAATGTTTCAGATCATTAAACTAATTTAAATATTATTCAAAGATAACACAAGTAAACACATTATGCAGTTTTGAAATTAATGCTTTTATTATTAAGAGAAAACAAAATACAAAACTAGACAGCCCTTTGTGAAAAAGAAAAGCCCCCTAAAACTAATAACTGGTCGGGCCACCCTTTGCGGCAACAACTGCAACAACTGAGTCTGTTATAGCACTGTCGAGGAATTTTGGCCCACTCATCTTTGCAGAATTGTTGAATTGAGGCACATTGGAGGGTTTTCTTGCATGAACTGCCTTTTTAAAGTCATGCCACAGCATCTCATTTGGATTCCAGTAAGGACTTTGACTTGACCACTCCAACGTCTTCTTTGTCTTTCTTTAGCCATTTAGAAGTGGAATTGCTGATCTGCTTTGGATTCTCAACCCAGCATCACTATGGATACTTACTACTGTATACATTTCTGGAGAGTGCAAATTATGTACCTAGAGGTACAGTACATATGGCTGCATTTCTTTGTTAAAATTAATTCTGTGTTGCTATAAGATTGTTAAAACAATTGTTTATGAGAGACGAGAGTAACTTAGCCAGAATGCAGCAAAGCTTTTATTATGTCACAGCCCACCACCACTTTTCCGGTCACGATCACGTAGAGAAGAAGCAATACTGTATTATCATACTAAATACATTTTAGGCTTATGTTATAATGCAGCTCCGTGCAATCTACAACATATTAAAAAAGACTTTGTTTCCTTGTTTTCTACAAAATCAAGGGTGCATCTTGTCATTAGCATGACAACACAGTTTGTTTCACAGTTAAAATTGCTTATTCTCTAGATTTAAACAATCTTCCAAACTTTTTGAACAATGTAAGTGTATAAATTAAAATCTAACACTGATCTAGTGGTTTTTGGATATTTTTAGAAAACAAATCTGACATATTTGCCTTTAATGCCAATAAAAGACCTTCCGTTTTTAAACATGAACTAACAATAAAATATAAGGGGTTTAAAGAAAAGTTATTAGTAAATTAAGTTCTCTAAACTAAGAAAAAAAGCTGAATTTGTGTTCATTCTAAATATTTTTTTCCTAACCTGAATTTCGCTCTGCAAAGTATTAAGAACTTGTTTTTCTGGATGATACTTTAGTTTTTAAATAATGGCTGGCATTTCCACTTTGGAAACTTCTATTCAAAAGAAAAAAAAAATCTGTCATTTTGTAATAGGCAAACAAATTAGTTTTTAAATTTTTTTTTACTCAAAAATATTCTTGGAAATTTGTATGAATTACTGAATTCACATGCAATGTTTTGACGATGTTTTGGTTCCTTTTCTGAATTTTGAACATCTCTTTAGACCATTCCTGTCTATGAGGACAAGGAAGCTCTGAGTTCATCTCATATACTCCAGAATATGTCTGTAAGATTTCATCTTAAAATACCAATCAGATTATTTAGTATATAATGTGCATTCAAAAATGGTCAAGTAAATAGGTTTCAAGCATGACAGACATATTTCATGACAGACATATTTTACTCGTTCATTTAGATAGAGGAGTAGAACATTTGTTGGAACTTACAGGGAAGTAAAGAAGTACAGATCCTGAAAGAATTGCTTCAAGAAGTATAAGACCAGATGCTTTGATTCTCTAAAAGAGAGAGAGAAAAGAGTGGGGGAGTGGGAATAAAAGAAAAAAAGCTGAAATATAAACTTTTTTATTTTTTTAAAGCAGTATTTGCCCTTCAGGTCAATAAATGCACTCAAGCAGAACCAAAGCTCTTGTTGTTCTTTGGTTCAGGTAACTCTAGCAGAATAAAAGCAAAACAGAGTAAAGAGTCTTTCCAGGCAAGACAACTGGCAGTAAACATTCCTACCTTGTTGTGTCGAAAATGGTAGACGACCACCATGCTGATAAAGTCCAAGAGCATGCAGAACCCCTGGAAGGAGACCATGGCCAGACGCAGAGCCGTGTCTTCATGAGCCAGACATGGTGTGTCGTCCCGGCAGAACTCACAGCCTTCTCGACAGGGCAAACACCTCCCAGACAATTCCCATGATTCATCAGTGTACGTTCCAAGGTCTGTTTCTAACAGCAGGTGAATCACATGAATACTATCATATCATATCAGCTGTGTGTTAACATTTTAAACAGTGCTGTGATGATATCTGTAGTATTATTACAATAGTTGATTATAAGTTAAAACCATTATGTACTTAATATCAATAATGCTTTACTTTTATTAATCACTAATAATAATAATAATAATAATAATAATAATAATAAATATAATAATGATAAACGTTCCCAGTATATATATATATATATATATTATAATATTATATTATATTATATTTTCAAAAATGAACCTTATTCATGCATTAAAATAATTGCTTTGTCAATGGTACAAGAAAATGTTATGTTAATTGGTTACCATCAGTGATGGAAATATCAGCGCTAAAAATGGCATTGCTTACGGCAATACTTTATTCAGTAGTAATCAAATGAATAACTGGTTCCCCTGTTACAACCTTTATTGCCGTTACTGACTATTAAATGAGTGATACTATAGAACACTATAGTAGATGTGGTTTTCATGCAATCTTTTTCTGGTGTGTGTGTGTGTGTGTGCGTGTGCGTGCGTACGTGTTTGTTCGGGCTGGGGCAGTGTTTGTGAACTTGGTGTAACTGAGAACATGATGATTGGCTTAGATACATTTTCATCGTTTGCCAGTCAGAAGCAGAGTAGTGTGGGTGTTCACAGTTGCACAGACCAATGACCAGGAGTCAGAACGATGGCAATTCCAACAAGTTCAAAGGTAGCTTTTGTAAAGTGGAAATATAACAACCCAGGTTAGTTCTGAAAAAGTACCCCTATATACATTTTTGGAGAGTGTAAAATACATCCCGTTTGTGGTGGTGGTTATAAATATACAAACCTTGCACACAATGGCGCACACATACCAATAGGCCCAAGTCTATCCATCATTTAATTTTGAAGAACGCCACTCAGAGACCATCCTCCATGTTCAGTTATTGGTTTTATTTATTTTTAATGTAGGTAAGTGCCATCAGAAAATTTAACCTGGTGCCATAACATCAATGTGCTGTCTCTTTGATGTAACATAATCACCTCAGAGGTTGTAAAACAATCGAAAGATTGATAGCTTTTTATTTGCATGTTGTTTTTTTAATTTAATGATCAACAAAAAAAATATGTTGTAGGTGATGGCTAAAGTATTAAAACATGGTAATAGTTTAATAAAATAAATTTGAGTTTTGGAAATTACCAAGCGACCCCTCTGTCATTGTCCCGCAACCCCCCGATTGGTCCCGACCCCCACTTTGGAAACCACTGGACTAACTAAACCCAGCCAATAGTGTTTTCAAAAGCACCGATTGACATGCCCACCCACTTGCCTAAACCGAGTTTTATAAAAGCAAACCAAAAAAAACAAAAGCCCTCACTTTTCTTTTTTTTTTTTGGTTCGCTTTACCACATTTTTAGATTTTACTACAGTCTCACCCTGTTATTTACTTGTTTATTTTATTTTCTGGCTTCTATTTTTGGCTTACCAGCTTTCTGGAACCGTTCTTTGCCAGACTCGAACCCCATCCTTGTGGTCAACTCCTCTCTGCGCCTCAAATCTGCCAATGTACATGGCAAGCTACTAGACAAACTGGTAACAGCGGGAAAGCCGTTTATACTGAGGTAAGCGGTCAGCTGTTAAGTGCGAAAATTGGTGTCATACCGCCCCGTAGCGTTCAATTTAAAGACTAAATGCAGCCATGCGTACTTCTGGCTACATAAATCACGATCTCCAGAAATGTATATAAGGCTACGTTTTTTAGATTGAGCCTATGTTAAAATATAAGCACTACTTTTCCCTTAAAGTTCTAAACCATCTGTGTTTTATTGTGCAACTATAGTAATTAGTAATGATAATATTTACAATGATATGTTGATTTAAAGGTTGTCTCTCACATTGTCCCACAACAACACTAAATAGTGTAGATTAGTGTATAATGTTTCATATTTATTTTATAGTTATTTGACAAATTAGATTTTTTTAAATAATGCAGTAGTTACTTTCCCTGGTAATTAGTTACTTTTTAATTATGTAACTTAGTTACTAACTCAGTTACAATTTGTGAGAAGTAACTAGTATCTATAAATATTACTCTCTTAAAGGAATGTGCCCAACACTGGTTATTACAACAAATTTAAATAAATGTTTTTACAGTATATTTTGTAAGTGTTTATTGATTTATTGTTGCTTACTTGAAACCTTGGCAAATCTAAGCTTATTTTGAGATTTTTTGAGAGTATCTTTTCTAATACTTTTGGGATTTTTTCTTTAAACAGAAAATACTTCCTATAAAAGTATTTCAGTTTAGATCAGAGGTGCCCAACTTTTTCGTATAAGGAGCCAAAAGCAAAGTATCATTGAGAGCCGCGGACGGTAGGTAAATATGCCAAGCTACTGTATATTACATCAAAATTGCCATGTGTAATTTAAATGACTTAAAAGTAAATAGAAAACATTACTTTAAGTCATATTAACTAATGCAGTATACATTTAAAATGATAACGTAATGTAATAAAAACACAAACAATTATATTTATAACACACTGGAGTTCAATGATGAATACACTAGTCAAGCAGAATCTGCCTTGCCTTGAATTGTCCTTTATGCGTCAGGTGACGGTATGTACATTTTAACTACATCTGATTAATTTACATAATTTAATTGAAACATCTTATTTCATTTAGCTTTAACAATAAAACAAACAAACAAAGAAGGTTACATTAGATTTGAAATGACAAGCTCTAAACCATGGCATCATTATTCCTCTCTTCTCAGATGGGATGGTGAGCCAAATCCGCTGGCCCTAGTTTGGGAATCCATGATTTAGATGAACCGTCAAGATCTTTTTCGGGGGGTTTGTTGGTCCATAACTTGTAGATTCTGCATGTTGAAAAACCCTATGTCTGACCTGTACTAGCTTCTATTAAAGTGGAGGAACCATTTTAATCTGGCTCCGTCCGAAGTGATCTCTCCTAAGGCAGTAAAGATGAGTAAAAACAGACATAAAAGCGCAATAGTAATCTAATAACGCACAGAACAAAGACAATGATAAAGAGCAGATAACAGGCTATAACAGCCAGAGCCAATTTAGTAGCCCCTGCAAGACATCACAACAGAATTACTAAACGCTGATTGTATTTACAAACAGTTAAAATATTTTAAAACAGTTTTAAAATATTAATATTTGACAACGGAAGCCTCATTATCAAATATAAAATAAGTTAAATGTGTAAGTAATCAACATTTGCCTGTCTTTTCGCATATGTTGCTTCATTTTAAAGCATGAGTTTCACCATCATTTCAACGGCTCAGTTTTATATAGATTATTTGCAAATGGTGTAACAACAAAGTAATATTGTTCCCAACAACTCTCCACATCTTTATGTGTTTGAAACTGCTCCTTCAACTGCTTTCTTCATAGATGCTTTGTGTTCAATAAGATAGTAGCATATTTAAACTATGAGTTTTGAGTCTCACTATTTCATCATGTGGGAAGTAGACTTGCAATATATGAGATAGCATACATTTTTATAACTTAATAAACCATTAAAAAATGAATTCAAGATCCCTCTAATTAATATCAGGATTTATTCTGTGATGATAATCAACTGGATGTACTCTCACCAGCCACTTTATTAGGTACACCTGTGCAACTACTTGTTAACGCAAATCTCTTATCAGCCAATCACATGGCAGCAACTCAATGCATTTAGGCATGTAGACATGATCAGGACAATCTGCTGCAGTAAAAACCGAGCCTCAGGATGGAGAAAAAAAGGTGATTTAAGTGACTTTAAACATGGTTGTTGGGGGCAGACGGGCTGGTCTGAGTATTTCAGAAACTGCTGATCTACTGGGATTTTCATGCACAACCATCTCTAGGCTTCAGAGAATGATCTGAAAAAAAAAAGTAAATATCCAGTGAGAGGCAGTTCTGTGAGCGCAAATGCCTTGTTGATGCCAGAGGTCAGAGGAGAATGGCCAAACTAGTTCCAGTTGATAGAAAGGCAACAGTAACTCAAATAACCACTCGTTATAACCAAGGTATTGAGAAGAGCATCTCAGAATGCACAACACGTTGAACCTTGAGGCGGATGGGCTACAGCAGTAGAAGACCACACCGGGTGCCACTCAGGAAACTGAGGCTACAATTCGTACAGGCTGGAAAAACGTTGCCTGGTCTGATGAATCTCGATTTCCGCTGTGATATTTGGATGGTCGGGTCAGAATTTGGCATCAACAACTTGAAAGCTTGGATCTATCCTGCCTTGTATCAATGGATCAGGCTGCTGGTGTTGTAATGGTGTAGAGAGGTCACCAAACTTGTTCCTGGAGGGCCGGTGTCCAGCAGATTTTAGCTCCAACCCTAATCAAGCACACCCGAACAAGCTAATCAAGGTCTTACTAGGTATAATTAAAACATCCAGGCAGGTGAATTGAGGCAAGTTGGGGCTAAACCCTGCAGGGACACCGGCCCTCCAGGACCGAGATTGGGGACCCCTCGTGTAGGGGATATTTTCTAGGCACACTTTGGGTCCATCAGTACCAATTGAGCATAGTGTCAATACCCATCGTGTCACAGCCTACCTGAGTATTGTTGCTGACTATGTCCATCCCTTTATGACCACAGTGTACTCATCTGCTGATGGCTACTTCTATCAAGTTAACAAGCCATGACATCTCACACTGGTTTCTTAAATATGACAATGAGCTCACTTTAATCAAATGGCCTCCACAGTCACCAGATATAGTGGCCAGTGAGTGTACATTATCCCTTATATAATTGCAATATACAGTATGAGGTTTTTGTACAACTGCTTTAGTTAGCTTTACATGGACATAGGAAAATAAATACCAGTTTAAAATGATTTAAGACCTACATGTAAAACACAACATTTTAATAGATTTAAGACTTTATAAGGCTTTTGAAGATATTTTAAGGGTGCTTTCACACCTACACTTTCGTTTTGGAACGTGTCTCATTTGCCCAGTTAGCGCGGTTCGTTTGGCATATGTGAACAGGGCAATCGCGCTCTGATCCGCGCCAAAGTAATCACTCCGAGATTGCTTGAATGAGGTGGTCTCGGCTCGATTGAAACGAACCCTGGAGCGGTTCGATTGCAGTGAAAAAAGCGATCAGATCCGAGCGCGGTTATATCGCTGTGTTTTATGGATATGTAATAGGCTTACGGCTATACGAAGAGAGAATTATGAGTAGGGCGGGAAGTTTTGCGAGTCTCCGGATGCCCACAAACGAGTGATGATCTACCGGTAATCTTGCGTCTCCCTCCCGGTCCTCACATAGGTATAGTCGCACACCCTTCTCACCCCTCCCCACCGCGTCTCTCCTCAGACAAGTCGCACGCGTGCACTCTGTCAATCACCACCAAACCACCACCTCTCCTGACGGCTTAGCGGGACGCTGCAAAATAAACCCTGACACTCTGACCAATGTAAGGAGAGTTTACTCATACGTGACTTGTTTTAGCTCTTTTGGTCCAATTAGAAACTTTGCAGTGTGAAAGCGAACCGCTCCAAGAGCAAGGAGCAACAATGTAACAAATGTAATCTCTGTTTCGGAACAACTGAATCGATTCACAGGTGTGAAAGCACCCTCAGACTTAAGACCCTGTAAACATCCTGTAATAAATCCAAAGTTTTTTCAGGTCAGATTTGTACTTACTTGAGAAGCCGTTGAGTGCTACCCGGCTTGGGTGGTAGAAACCTCTCTTGCATTGGCACTTGTATTTGTCCAGCACAAATCCATGGCCCACAATTGGATTACACTGAGAAAAAAATGGTTTAGCTTTAAGAACTGTGCTTCATAAGTAAGCATACACATACAAAAAAAAAAAACCATTGAGCAGAGATGTCCAAACTAGGGCTTGTGGGCCAAAGTTGGCCCATGTTAACCTTTGATTTGGCCCACTATCCCACATGAGAAGAGAGTGAGAATAATGGGGAGAGTTGGGGCAAATTCCTTTAACAGGGATTGTAATTTAAGCAAATCAAGGCAATAAAACAGGTGCAGCTTGACTAGTGTAACTCCATTCTGTTATTTATTTATTTATTTATTTATTTATTTTGCTGTAGTAAGTACATTATAAAATTTAAACATGAATTCAACATGTACTGCATTAGTTAATATAAAGCAATATTGTCTAGTTGTTTCGTAAATATTAAATCAATTAGGAAATCACCAATGGCAACATTAATAAAGTTTGGCATATTTTCCTTCAGCCCACTACTGGTGAGTTTGGTTTTTGGCCCTTCATATGATAAAGTTTGGGCACCCCTGCTGTTGTGCATTGTCAGATATATTCTTTCATGCAGTGTGCAATGAAGCTGTTTAAAAATGTAAAAAGTCTGCAAAGTTTCAAAGATCAAAGTGCACAATTACATCTCTCTCAATACAAAGAGATTGTATTGATTATTACATTATAATAAGATATAAATCCTATATATTTTTTTTATTTAACGGGGAAACTAGCTTTCCACACCATACAAATCAAATGTAGATCATCATAACCTGCGTCCAATCCCGGCTAACTTCCGGAAAGGTAGAGTAGTCTATAGCGTTAGAGATAACAAGTAAAACAAGTCCCGCCCCAGGACAGACAAAAATCCAAAATGTTTCACGCGAGCAGAGAGAAGAACCAGCAAGCAAGCGGAGAGAGCTGATCGCACGCGCGCGCTGTAGGCATGACCTCGCTGGCGAAAGCGTACATCGTGCGCACAGATGATGCGCGCATAAAGATCCCCTGTGTGCGCGCGAGCTGTAGTTTCCTCGTGTGTAGGTCTGTAATCTGCTCGCGGTTCCCTTCTCCTCGCACGTAAACATCACCGCTGCGCTCGATTAATATTGGCATTGATTTGCCACCATAAGACACGCAAATGGGAAAGGTGGATGGGAAGAACCAGCTCATTTGCATGTAAAGCCACAGGCTACAAAAAGAGCTACATTGTAGTCACACACCAAAATGGGCAGATTCTACATTATATAATAAATAATCTGATGGGTTTTTGAGCTGAAACTTTATGCTCTGTTCACACCAGATGTGGAACACGCGAACAATAGGTGCGTGAACATTATGAGTTCACTGGCTTCATTCGCGCATCAAATTTCCTTCATTCATGCGTCAAATTCACCTTACAATTGACACGAATTTGCATCATGGGGAGGTTTCTGTCTGCTCGGTGACTCTAGCTTCATTGCTAAAATGGCTAACATGGATTTCATAGAGAGAATAGCTGTGTTTATGTACTTTAGGAAGGCTAAAAACAGCGGATATAATTGTTTGGCCTCGTGTCTGAGTCCACTAGATCCCATTAGAGGTGCACCTGCTCTGAGTTCATCAACTCCTCCAGAAACTATACCTGGATGATAGAAGCTTTCAGCAGTGTTTCCGACTGAGCCAAACCTAGTTTGATGAACTGTTGTACAGTGTTGGCAAGAGCATTTTGCTCTTTTTTCCCCGTGCTACTCACTGCCCCACCGCATCGAGAGTGATGCAATCTCAGCTTGCATCATATAGGCTGCATCCAGATACTATTGATCTCTCTCTCCGTATGGATCATTAAACAACCGTGATCCATTACACCCCTAATTACAAGTATTATCCTTTGGCTGAATCTTTATATAACACAAGAAATCATATAATCATATTTATATGTATAAGTTAAATGCAAATACAATGTGAGAACACATGCAGATTTCACACAGCTTTTGCAAAAACAAATATTTTGTGCTCATTCATGTGAACATTCTAGTCTGATGTACTCAAAAGAGTTTTTCTTTGAACTAGGTCTGAAAAAGTCACGCCAAGTTCACAAGGCTCTATAAATAATCTGGAAGTGCCATGAACCCCTGAGGAAATGTAATGAAGTGAAGCTTTCAGCACAAGCTGGATGCTGATCTCAGATGCTGATTTCTGGTAAATTAGTCACTGTTTTGTCACCTTTGGATTAGCAAATGGGATTCAAGTGAACAAGCCTTAATAGAGGAATGATTCTCTGAAAGATAATTATCTACAGACGTCTTAAAATTTGCTAGCAGCTCTTGAGCAACATGTTTAGCGAGGATGTGGATTGCCAACTGCTGTAATTTTTTATCATTCATTCATTAATTTTCTTGTTGGCTTAGTCCCTTTATTAATCTGGGGTCGCCACAGCGCAATGAACCGCTAACTTATCCAGCACGTTTTTACGCAGCGGATGCCCTTCCAGACGCAACCCATCTCTGGGAAACATCCACACACACTCATTCACACACACTACAGATAATTTAGCTTACTCAATTCACCTGTACTGCATGTCTTTGGACTGTGGGGGAAACCGAAGCACCTGGAGGAAACTTACACAAATCCAGGGAGAACATGCAAACTCCACCTAGAAATGACAACTGAGCCGAGGCTTGAACCAGCGACCCAGCAACCTTCTTGCTGTTCTTGCTCCAAATCTGTTTTAGTTTCTGTGGTACAGAATGGTTTGTACAACTTAAGGGTGAGTATATGATACTTTTTTGGATGAACAATCATTTTACTTGTTTATTAAAAATAAATACATTCATAAATATGAAGCATACCTTTTTTCAAACTTGGGAAAGTGTCTGCATCTTCCCGTCACATACTGTCCATTTTGCTAATGTCAAAAACAATATTAATAATCGTTATTTTAATAAAAAGTAAATACTCTCATTACTAATATTGACTTGGCCATGAAGAGCTATGGCCATAAGGTCTATGGTGCCTGTAGAGGTGGCAATCCACAAACCTGGTGGTGGACACCTGAAGAAAGGAATCCCGTCAAGCTGAAGAAGGAGTTCTACAGGGCTTGGTTGGCTAGCCCGGGCAGTTGCGAAACCAAAAACTTGGGCCTGGGAAGAGTTCAGGGAGACCATTGAGGAAGACTACCGCTCAGCCCCAAAAAGATTCTGGCAAACCGTCTGGTGCCTCTGGAGGGGAAAGCAGTTCCACACTTAAACACTTCTGTTTACAGCAGAAGTGAGGAACTGTTGACCTCTACTGGGGATGTTGCCGGATGGTGGAAGGAATACTTTGAGGAGCTCCTTAACCCACTTACATGTCTTTCATTGATGAAGCAGAGATTGGGGATGCAGGGGTGGACCCTATCACCCAAGCTGAGGTTACTGAGGTAGTTTGCCATAAGTATTGCAGTGGCAAAGCAGCGGGGGTCTTGGCTGACTCTCTGTCTCTATAAAATCACACAGAGGTCAGGGACAGTACATCTAGACCAGGAAACTGGAGTGGTGGTTCCCATTTTTAAGAAAGGGGACCGGAGGGTGTGTTCCAGCTATAGGGGGATCACACTCCTCAGCCTTCCAGGGAAAGTGTATGCCAAGGTACTGGAGAGGAGGATCCAGCTAGGATTCCGGAGGAACAATGCGGTTTTCGTCCAGGCCATGGTACACTGAACCAGCTCTATTCCCTCATCAAGGTGCTCCAGGGTTCATGGGAGTATGCCCAACCAGTCCACATGTGTTTCAAGGACTTGGAAAAGGCATTTGACCATGTTACTTGTGGCATTCTGTGGAAGGTGCTCTAGGAGTATGGGGTCAGAGGTGCTCTGTTAAGGGCAGTTTGTTCGCATTGCTGGCAATAAGTCAGAACAGAATTTCTATGCGCAGCCATGGATCAAAAGCAGTCCAGTTCAGGGACCACAGGTTTTCATCTGTGTAATTTGCAGACGATATTGTTCTGTTGGCTTCGTAAACCTTCAACATGCACTGGGGTGGTTTGCTGCCGAGTGTGAGAATCAGCAACTCCAAGTCCGAGGCCATGGTGTTCCACCGAAAAAAGGTGATTTGTCAGGTTGAAGGAAAGTCCAGGTCGCCAGGTCGAGGCTTTCAAGTATCTTGAGGTTTTGTCCATGAGTGAGGGAAGGATGAAACGTAAGATTGACAGGCGGATCGGTGCAACGATGCAAAGTATTGAGGTTGATGTACAGTACCGGTCTGTTGCTACTGTTTAAAACCATTTTTCCAAGTAGAAGGACACATATTTCCCCCAATTCTTCAAGTGGTGATCGCTGCAGAGCCATTTGAGGAGAGCTGAGCTCCAGTGAGGGGGAGCTTAAGCTTGAGCTCCACCTTTTTTGCACTTCTTCTACGAGTGATGTCACTGGGGGTAGGGTTAGGGGTGGGGTTGGTGTACGCATTAAAACAGCTTACAGGAGGAGGAGCGACAGCTCATGCTCCCCCTCGCTGGAGCTCAGCTCTCCTCAAAGGGCTCTGCAGCGAGCACCCTCTCCAATTCTTGAGGTTCTTTGTTATTTCCTATTAGTTTTAGAGTTTGTTATAAAATTCTAGTTATTTCATATATCAAAGAACTATTATATGCACCTATTACATACAACTGCTGCCAGTCTCTGAGGTCTTCTGGTTAAGACCTTTTAAACTTTTCCCAGAACACGTCTCAAGACAAAAGATGATCATGCCTTCTGTGTTGTGGCTCCAAGGCTCTGGAACTCTCTCTCCTTCTAGCATTAAGAACTTTGAGCGCTGCTAAACTTATTAAAAATTGTTTAAAGACACATCTAATTGGGCAAGCTTTTAATTAACAATATGGTAAGCTGGTAATACATTTTTGTGATATTTGTATTTGTATCTGTTTTGATCTATGTTTTCTTTTACTGTAAAGCATTTTGTGACTTCATGTTTGTGAAAGGTGATATATAATTTTATTTTAGTTACTTGCTTACTGAGAGTGTATATGAATATGATTTAATAATACAAGCCTTGCCACATTGCAGCGCAGACAAATGTGGG